CCTGTTTCCTGTGACTGTGTGTCTCCACCAGTTTGAATAAACCTGTGCTGCTGATCTCCACCTCTAACTGCCTTTCCTTCACAACCCATCCCCCAGATGCTCTGTCGGCTTATAATTATGCCTTTCCCCTCCATCCGCTCTCCTCTCATTAATAATTCAGTCTTCCTCTGCTCCAATTAAATAATTAACAGTGCTGAGAGCCATCAGATTGTCACCCAGCAAAGGCACCCTGCACTGATCCCCAAATTATCTTCAAACAGCTCATTGAGTCCCCTGTGGTGAGTGCAGACCCTCGTGTCTGATAGCCTGCCATCTTTTCATCAAAATCAAGCAAAGGTCCAACAAACAGTTACATGTTGAAACCAATGTTCCTGATGTATTTAGTTACATATAGTCATGACCACTGCTTATTTTGATGTTCTCAGCCATTTTCAGAAAAATTTTCAGAACTATAAGGAAAACTAAGGTCAATGCAAAAACAAAAAGGATCATGTGAAGGCTTATGTGACACTAACTGAAAGCTAAAATGACTAATATGACTGGCACTAAAAAGAGAATTAAAGGGCAATGTGACTAAAGACCTACTGTAAAAGGTTACTGGCCCATGCTAATTTGAGAATGGAAAGAATTATAATGCAGTACAAAGACAAAGTAGGTATAATGGCAACACAGCACTTTTTTTATTAACATCATTCATATTTTACAAGACCAAAGTGTGAACTCAACTGTCTATTAAGTAAATAGCAAATATCAAACATACAGCTATGTTCCCTGTCTGTTATTACTTTCCAGGACAGCTTATCAGTTTTTAATGGACTAACAGTCTAACAGTTAAGGAAGGTTTGATGGGGAGCAGTGTGACATGCAGACTGACCAGCAACATCTTTCTCTCCTTATCTTTCCTGCTGCCTGGGCTGCACATGAAGAAGTAGTTAGTAGCCTATGTTATACTGTATAAACAACACAACACTGTAATTTTTAACCTAACCTCCTTCACCAATACACTGAACTGACACACACCCCATGAGCATAATCATCCCAGACAAACACGGTGAAACACTCTCACTGTTTCCATAACCGTAACCTCTGTTTCAGTTGACTTATTACACTTCACAGAGCCCATACAAGTCCACTGAAGCACAAAAACATGTGATCACACACACAAACATTCCCACTCACACACCACCTCAGCACAGCATTATTGTAGAGCATTTGCCTGATACTTCTGTGTGGCTAGAAGGCTCTGTTTCATGCATTCCTTCAGAATAAAATCACAAAAATGCAACAAAAAATTGATTATGTTCCAGTTCCTTCACTTTCTAACCTCTGTGTTTCCAGGGGAAGATCAACCGCAAATGCTGCATCATATTCATACAGTTTCACGTGTTCACACTGGGTTCTGCCTTCTACCAAAAGCTTCTGTAAAACTGAGGAGCATCTCTGCAATAGATGTGGAGACATTTTTACACTCCGGGGGTTCAAAGTGGCAACCTTCCCGACTAATATGCCCTCACAAAATCCTCCTCAGAGCAGAATGATATTGTTCTGCAGCAAGTCTACCAACACTATCACGCTCAAACACAGCTCCCATTCACTGAATTAAGAGGCAGAATACACAAACACTGACGTGCTAATTTACAGACATCAAAGGGTCTGAGCACTTCCTGTACGTAGAGAATAAGCAGAGGCAGCGGCCGACCAAGACATTTGTGTGGAGATATTGACTGTCAACACACATCTTCCTCATCCTACTACAGACATGAAGCAGAGAGAAACATACCAGTGGGGAATATGTTTTAGTTCAATTATTGATTGCCCTCTGTAAAGTATGATATAAACCATATCCAAAGCAGTTTTAGAAAGTTTATCTCTCACTCACTTCCTGTTAATATCAGTAAAAGAAGTTTTTTTTCCAACTATGAAACTACATAGAGTGATAGAGTGGAGAATAAAAAAAGGCCACAGAAGTATCCAAAACATCATCTTCTGCAAATAAAAATAGTGTTTAAAGAGGAAGTCATACTGTAGCATCAGTGGACCTGCTATACAGTCCAATACAAAAAATGTCAGGATGTAAATACTTCTGCATTCGTTTCCCTTGGCGTCGTGGTATAATGTCATTATCTAACGTTGCGTTCATCTTATCTCTTTCGAGACATGCTTCTCCTTCCAGTTCATCAGTGTAATCATTGTCAGATGGTTTTTACTTGTTTGCTACAGATGTGTTGTTGTGTGAGCTGTGGAGCTCGGGGGCTGTGAAATGTCATTTGTTAGTCCTTCAGGCAATGCTTCTCCCCAGGCTTGGTGCTGATTTAACAGGGTACTTAGGCTGCCTGTGGGGACACAGACTAAAAACTTAAATCAGGGGATGAGTGTCTCTTGAGTCTCACAGTAAACACCACAGATTACTGTGCATGGAAGACATATACATGTATATAGCTATTTTTCGGTATATGGTAAATGTATGTGACTTATACAGTACTTGCATATACTGTACACACCACTATGCCTCTGAGAAAGACTGTTGCTCTTACACAACCATTCACACAGCAAAGCTCACACACTGCGGTTTCACCCGCTCTACAAATACACACTGCTTGTCGATCACCCTGCCGTTGATACCCTGAGGTCCAGTCAATGATGCTGAGCACTCCAACCCCTCTCATGCACACAACAGAGAAATATCATGCAGAGTGTACCTGGTTCATCAAAAAAGGACAGCATGTTCACAGCATGTTCATGTTCACATATTCCGGTGGACTGGGCTTCTGACCCATATAACTTTTTGAAGACTCCAAAGATATATGCAATCATACATCACCCAGCTTAAAACCAGACAATGTAACATTTTAATGTATAGTCATTCATTCTTCCTCCCACAAATCAAAAGTTGAATTCATATATGCAACAAAATGCAGCCCTGCCTAGTTCAGCTGCTCCAGCCTAACTTGGCCTGTTATGACCAGTAGCTACCATGTTGTGATTGTTAGCTAATTTTGCTGTGTTGCCAGTGTTAGTGAGACAGTCTGCTGACTTGATGCCTCTTACCACTTGAATGTATAGTGCTCAAAGTCACTGAAACATTTATTGCAGCCTTAGTTGACAGCTTCACGTCGACCAGGCTGGCAGCTTGGAAAGAAGCCCACAGCTGAGCCGCACTTTAACTGGATGTTCAGTTTGTCTTTGACTGACATTTAACTAAACTGAGGGTTTGTTTAAAACTCTGGTTATCAAAGCACTCATATATGTTGTCCTATCTGAGCTATGCTTAGTGGAACTGTATTTTTGCCTTTTGTGAGTATGATGCTGTCATAACCAATAGGACAGCTACAGAAATAAAAACCAGGCAATAATATAATAGTTGTCCTATAATAATAATAATAATAATAATAACATAAACGTTTCAAGCCTACAAAGAGGTGAATGATGTTCAAAAAATACCTTATAGCAGATTGTTTTTTGTTTTTTTTTAACCTTGTCATGTTTTAAAGAAATGGGCCAGATGAGGGGTCTGACCTTGTGAACTTCCTTATTTTTGCATTCTTGGCATTAGGGTTACCACAAAAAATAGATCAAAGTTTGAACGAATGAGAGCTGGCAAAGAACGCATTGAAATTCAGTCCGACTCACTCAGCATAGCCTAATCCTAAACGATGCTGTAACACTGACATGGTTCATTCATGCTGCTTCACAGGGATAACAGGTAACTTCTGATTGCTTTTGCACAGTCCCTGTGCTGTTGATTTCTTTTTGTACATTATTTACATGTGTGTAGCTATACGTAACTGGTTTCAACGCTGACAGTTCCTGTGCATTGGATTTCGGTACGTTCGCTACTCTGTTGCCTTCGTTTGCTAATCCTCCTGGTTCCTGCTGTTATTCTGTCTACTCACCTGCTCGTCCTTTTCTCCTCAGCCATTACTGCCCTACCCTGGTTATGTACTATACATTGACTCAATTACTTTGTTTGTGTTCTCCATTAAACCACCTGGGTCTGCTTCTTGAGTCCTCCCTTTTGTTCTCCCTCACCCGCTGGTGAGGGGGACTCAACCATAACAGTTTTGCAGCAAACAGCTGTACTTTAATCAAAGATTTTTCTGTTTATTATGTCAAATCTAACATGCTTCCACACATTGCTTCTCAAATGGTGTAGTGAATATCTGTTCATGGCTCACCGGTTTCTTGGTTTACACTAAAACAGAGAAAAACAATTGCTTATCTTACAGTTGCGGCAGTGAGACATGCAGTACATCAGACTGACATGGACTTAACAAACGCCCCCGCTGAAACTGCACACAGGGCCTATTGAACTTAAACACTGTGAACGATGAGCTCAGACAGATCATCACAGATTGAATATTTAACGTTTTCCCATGCTGAACTTCAGACCTCTGGTTGGTACAGGCTGGACATAAATAAGGTAAAGATTCGGTTCATCAGTTCAAAGGCAGAAGTCCTTTACAATAAACATGGAAGTTTATACTTTCCTATGCTTAGACTCTGACAACATCTGTGACTTCTCAAACTTCACTACGTTCCTCACTCTTATGGCCAAAGCACTAATGACAATGTTCAAACCTACATTTCAGTCAGTCTCTTCTTTTAAAGGAGTGCAGATTACTCAAGAACAGTAAACCTGTCTGGGAACAAACCCCTTTAGAAATGGCACTGAGGCCACCTTTCAACATCTAATTCTTCCAGGGGAAGAAGACAGAAGCATTGACCATTAGAAGGATGTTAAACCTTCAATGACAGTAACGTTTCATCACAATATTTAAACTGTAGTAGTGGAGCACACTCATCCTAACAGAAGGCCAGTTCAGTGGAGCTGTCTAATCCTGCTCCACCCTTAGTCTTCACAAAGGTCAGTCCTCTTGAAGCTCTGTTATGGTTCAAATATCAGCAGGACTCTTAAACAACCTCCACCCAACAGCAGGGGATTATTACTGGAGCTATTTCCAAGTCTGCGTGTGTGTGTGTGTGTGTGTGTGTGTACTGACCGTTGAAGACAGCCTCTCCCTTTGCCAGCTCTTGGTCCATTTTGATGATGTATTCCTCCTGTATAAACCCCCTTGTGCAAGGCAAGGACCGCTCGGCCTCTCTGCTCACAACAACAACCTGGTGAGTGCACGAAAAGCAAGATAAAGGAAGTAAGAGGACTATTGTGATACTGCATTCATCTTAGATTACATCTCGATGCCCTCCTATATTAAATAAGTTTGCAAATGTTAAATAGTCTTTTTTATAAAGCTGAGGTCTCTGACTGCAGCAACATGAACTGTCTGACAGTGATTTGGTTCTCTGCCATAGTAAAGGCTGAACATAAACATGGAAAGACAGAAGGAGAAGAAGCAATGATTTATTTGAAGTGCTAAAGTTGGCAATTGGACTTACTTGCTCCAGAGTTACCATTGATATCAATGATACCGATAATTAGTGTCTAAACGTTTGTATATCCTGTTGTTTGAGCCTTGTCCCAACATGCCGCCACCCCCCCAACAATGGGGAAGCACTGGGTCAGTTGGCCCTGGGCCGGGGGAGAGCAAAATGGCCCTCTAACTTTTAAATAACATCTGTGGAAATTTCATATAGTATTTGTGAGTCACACAAAAGCTTTTTATTTTTATCTTCCTAATTTTTTGACATAGTTGGTCAAAACAATCACACGTTACCTCTACAATGCAAAAAAAGGTTTGCTTTGTTGCATTGTTTTAACGGTTCACACAGTCAGTAAACTTAAACAGTCAGACACTAAAGTCAGGTGCTCAAATAAGAAAAAAAAATAAGAAAATGACAAAGAGGTGCAAAGGACTTTATGTTCAGGTATTTAAAAATTATACTGAAGCCAAAGATAAAGCTTCAACAAGTAAAACCCCACCAACATCAGTTTAGCTTAAGGTAACATCTGGCAAACACCCGTACTATTAGCTTTACTTTTAACGTCCAGTTATTAGCTTGTATACAAACCTAACACAACATGAGCTCTGAGAGAAACAGCTAAGTGTCAGGGTTGTAGCTGTGTCGGAGAGGACAGAAAGACAAGGATGGACCCAGGGTGGGTGAGGCCAGCTGTGCCAGGGAGGAGAGGGAGGAAGACAGTTTAAGATCCAAGTAATATTTTTCCATGTAAACTGACATAAGGTATCTTATGTACAAATGATTAAATGAATTGATCAATTTTCTATCTCTCTATGATTGAATTTCAGTGGTGGAGCTACATTTAGTTTTAGTACATCTGGATTAACTGTGTGGGAAATAAGAGTTCTTTTGCCGTGTGCAAATGGGCGTTATGGCATATGCCCTGATGCAACCTGTGCGTGGGGGGTACTAATGGAAGTATGTGTATGTGGGGTCCTTTTGACCTCATCTATTCCCGGACATGATCAAGACAGCGGGCCTGCCTACTGGCTGTGATTACTGTACAGGAAATACTGTGGTGTACAGTTTTCCTTCACAGGCAATAAATGAAGACTGATTTTAGCGGTTCTGTTATTCTATAAACTGTTTAATCATCTGATTCATGTATCACTTTATTTTACTCCCATCCTTCACCCTACTGCCTCACCATGACCTCTGGGACCTCTTCCTGCTTTTTTCCCCACTTCACTTTTTGTCTGTGTAGCATCAGAGCACAGTCTTGCTATGTGTGTTTACTTCCTCTTTCCTTATCCTAAGGGCAGAGACACACAAAGCTGACATGAGTGAAAGAACCGCTCCCTTTTAATGCATTGATATTGCTAAACTGAACAGTCAGTCAGAGTGGTCTCTCTCTCATCGATAAGGCTCAACAGGCCAATGCCAATTCCACATCTTGAATTGGCTGAAAAGCAACAGGGACTGACTGGTGCCAACAGTGTGGGACACACCGGGAGGACGGGCCCCAATGGCCCGACAGTAGTCAATGGCGGATCATCAGCTTGGTGTGTCACGACCCTTAAATCTACTGAGACGCAGAGTGAGGCAGGGCTTTATGTGCATGATGATGTGTTAAGTAGACATGAGAAGTGAACTCCCATCTGGTTCAGCTCTGACAAAATAAAATGATCCAAGGGCACAAAGAAAGAAAGTTAACCAGATACGCTGTGAACTCAGGCCTGTATCAACTGTTTATTCCATTTACAACAGTACAGCAGATACTGAGCATCGTTTAATAATACATTTATAAGGTTCCACCTACTGTCTTATCACATCAGTTACTCATTGATAAGATGGAAGACAACAATGTGTCTGAACACTGACACACACAATGGCCTACATGTACTATTACTAGGACTGTAACTGTATTTTTTTTCTATTAGTCTAGTAGATTAATCATTTGGTCTATACAATGTCAGAAAGTAGTGAAAACACCCACTGGAATTCCCCAGAGCCGAGACGATGTTTTCAAATAGCTTGCTTTATCAAACCAACCAACAGTGCACAACCCAATGATATTTAATATTCTTCTGTTAAAGACAGTGAAGAGAAACAGTTCACCAACAAACAGCCTGAGTGTCAGAATGAGCTTAGTGCTCCTGCTTCGTTTCTGCCGGTTATACCAGCGTATAGGCAGCTCCCATTTACTAACAATCCAGGATGTACACAGCAGCACAATTTCTGCCACAATAGCTTCTAACTTGTAACACTGAAAAAACTGCAGGGTAGAGAGAAAAAACACATCCTGCATGTGTTTGATTTTTTTGTCTCTTCACCGGTTCGACCACAGGCTTTGCAGCATTAAGTTTCTTCCTATATGTTGGCATAAGATGGACCATGCAGTGATCAGAGGGAACAAGGGCTGTGTGGGGGACAGAGTGATAGGTATCTTTTATTGCTGTGTAGTAGTGGTCCAGTGTGATTTTGTCCCTGGTGGGACAACTGACATGCTGAACAATGACTGGGGAGTTGGGATGTTTCAGTTCCACACTCATTATCTGGTCGACCAGGTGCTGTAGTGTGCAAGCGTGGGCCTGTGATCTTATATACACTCCGATCGGAATGAATGAGGAGAATTCTCTGATTTGCAGTTAATGAAGAGAGTTTCTAAGTCCAGGTTTCCATGGAGAAACAGATTCCACCTTCTCTCATTTTCCTGGATAACTTCATTATGCGATCTGTTCTGTGTATCTGGAACCCCGGTATTTGTCTTGTGCCATCGAGATGGAGTTGTTGAGCCAAGTCTCCGTGAAGCATAGGGCAGCAGAATGTGTAAAGTCGGAGTTATACTGGTTGATGAGAAGGAGTTCGTCCATTTTGTTGGCTAGAGAGTGGAGATTCGCTAGGTGGATGGACGGGAGCAGTGTGCAGCTCCGTCTCTGTCGTAACTTAACCAGCGCTCAACCGCTCTCTTCCCTCGCTGGCGTTTTCTCCAGGTCCCGTAGAGGGCTGCTGCCCCTCTGACCAGAATGTCCACACAGCCTTTTGCATTATCAGAAATTGGAGAAAGGGTGTTTGGAGTGAGTTGTCTGCTGTTTAATGTTTCTTCTTTGGTGAAGGTAATCTGGGATGGGTTGCAAAAAAATGAGAAAACGAAGAAAAAACAACACATGAGATCACGCGTTACCAAGGCAGCCATGCGCATCGCCATGTTCACTGTGGTGAACAGTGTTTAACAGTGATGTACAGGAAGTACCAGCTGGGGTCTGACTTGTGTTAAACAATCCATACCTTCCATGACTCTGCACCATATGAGAGCTCTGTCAGAGATGACACCTCCCTTAAACAACATTATTAATGTAACACATGTTTGGAAATGGAGGCAGACCTTTAAACACAGTTATAGCTAGTTGAGAGGTGTTTACAAAAAGCACTGCTGCTAAAAGAGCTCCTAGAAACGACTGTACATTAAGGAGTATCTCATAGCCAATATTAGTATCTTAAGATGTCATGGAATCTACAGGAGGGCAGAACACTGGTGCGGTGGTTAATGCTATTGCCTCACAGCAAGCCGGTTCCGGGTTCAAGCCCTGGCCGGCCTGGGGCCTTTCTGTGTTTGCACGTTCTCCCTGTGCTTGTGTGGGTTCTCTCTGCAACATAGGTTGATTGGTGTCTCTTAAAAAAAAATTGTCCAGGGTGTACCCTCACCTGCAGATTGGCTCCGTGACCCCGTTTGGGACTAAGCAGTTTAGAAAATGGATGGATGGAATCTACAGGCATAACCAGAAATTACAGTTTTTATTATTCATTCATTTTTAACACCAATGGTCTTTGTTAAGTACCACTGGATGTAAAATGAGTGATGTTTAAAAAAGAAGATATGACTATACAGACACATACTAATTACTGTAACTTGAATGGATTAATAAATTTATCTGTCGACTTTTCCCACAACTCATCTACCCAAACACTCCCACACAAATACAATGTGACAGATTCATGAGGCTCACCATTTCCATCTCCTCCTGCCACTGAATCGAATCCAGGTCTTTCTGAAACCGAAGCTCTGCTTGTTGCTTACAGCTGTTTGTACAGTGGGTACGGAAAGTATTCAGACCCCCTTAAATTTTTCACTCTTTGTTATATTGCAGCCATATGCTAAAATCATTTAAGTTCATTTGTTCCTCATTAATGTACACACAGCACCCCATATTGACAGAAAAACACAGAATTTTGGACATTTTTGCAGATTTATTAAAAAAGAAAAACTGAAATATCACATGGTCATAAGTATTCAGACCCTTTGCTCAGTATTTAGTAGAAGCACCCTTTTGAGCTAATACAGCCATGAGTCTTTTTGGGAATGATGCAACAAGTTTTTCACACCTGCATTTGGGGATCCTCTGCCATTCCTCCTTGCAGATCCTCTCCAGTTCTGTCAGGTTGGATGGTAAACGTTGGTGGACAGCCATTTTCAGGTCTCTCCAGAGATGCTCAATTGGGTTTAAGTCAGGGCTCTGGCTGGGCCATTCAAGAACAGTCACGGAGTTGTTGTGCAGCCACTCCTTCGTTATTTTAGCTGTGTGCTTAGGGTCATTGTCTTGTTTGAAGGTGAACCTTCGGCCCAGTCTGAGGTCCTGAGCCCTCTGGAGAAGGTTTTCGTCCAGGATATCCCTGTACTTGGCCGCATTCATCCTTCCCTCGATTGCAACCAGTCGTCCTGTCCCTGCAGCTGAAAAACACCCCCATAGCATGATGCTGCCACCACCATGCTTCACTGTTGGGACTGTATTGGACAGGTGATGAGCAGTGCCTGGTTTTCTCCACACATACCGCTTAGAATTAAGGCCAAAAAGTTCTATCTTGGTCTCATCAGACCAGAGAATCTTATTTCTCACCATCTTGGAGTCCTTCAGGTGTTTTTTTTAGCAAACTCCATGCGGGCTTTCATGTGTCTTGCACTGAGGAGAGGCTTCCGTCGGGGCACTCTGCCCTAAAGCCCCGACTGGTGGAGGGCTGCAGTGATGGTTGACTTTTTACAACTTTCTCCCATCTCCCGACTGCATCTCTGGAGCTCAGCCACAGTCATCTTTGGGTTCTTCTGTACCTCTCTCACCAAGGCTCTTCTCCCCCGATAGCTCAGTTTGGCCGGACGGCCAGCTCTAGGAAGGGTTCTGGTCGTCCCAAACGTCTTCCATTTAAGGATTATGGAGGCCACTGTGCTCTTAGGAACCTTAAGTGCAGCAGAAATTTTTTTTGTAACCTTGGCCAGATCTGTGCCTTGCCACAATTCTGTCTCTGAGCTCTTCAGGCAGTTCCTTTGACCTCATGATTCTCATTTGCTTTGACATGCACTGTGAGCTGTAGGGTCTTATATGGGCAGGTGTGTGGCTTTCCTAATCACATCCAATCAGTATAATCAAACACAGTTGGACTCAAATGAAGGTGTAGAACCATCTCAGGGATGATCAGAAGAAATGGACAGCACCTAAGTTAAATATATGAGTGTCACAGCAAAGGGTCTGAATACTTATGACCATGTGATATTTCAGTTTTTCTTTTTTAATAAATCTGCAAAAATGTCAAAAATTCTGTGTTTTTCTGTCAATATGGGGTGCTGTGTGTACATTAATGAGGAAAAAAAATGAACTTAAATGAGTTTAGCATATGGCTGCAATATAACAAAGAGTGAAAAATTTAAGGGGGTCTGAATACTTTCCGTACCCACTGTAGGTAGGATGAGTTTGAGTTCAACAACTCCCTACAGGCGTCACATAGAAGCAGGATCCAATATGCACCTCCAGGGAAGAGCTGTGTGCATCTCTGCATGTGGCACAGCAGGTGTTACCTCATTAATCATTTCAAATTAATGAACCAGACATGCTGACATGATCAGCAAGGAACTAGCTGTAACAGTCCCCGTACTTCCTTCTACACTTCAGACAAATAAACTGTCACGCATGGATTCCAAGTTAATCCGGTGAAACAGAGCTAGTCCTCAGGAAGAGTCCTGAGCTCCATCAAAAGTTGTCGGGACATTTTAATTTTACTGTAAGTAAAATTCTAATTCATTTTATCTAGAAAGTTTTTTTCCAGTTTGACAGTTAAGGAAATTCTGCCTAGCCCACCAAAACAGCCCGGGCCCGTCATCACTCAGAGCAGTGTCTGACTGGAGCAGCAGCTACAATAAAATGTACTTTCTTAAACTGACTGAGTAACATTAATCATTAAAAGCAGAGCTGTAAACCTCTAACTGTACATTAAACATAATCGTGATTCTAAGTATATAAACAGCTTTCTGTTTTGTTTATGTATTTCTGAAGAATACCATGCCCTGCAGGCAGTTAAATATGCATTGTTCCTTTAAAATATGTCCATCTTTCTCTTCAGCACCACAGACAATCGACCTCAACCAGCACTAAACAAGTCCTCCAACTGCTTGCATGGGAAACACATGAAGAAATCTAAGCACACTCTTAGAAACTCTCCATTTCAAGCTTTGAGCTAAAAAAAATAGGTCAGTAGCAATACAATGATAGAGTACAAGATTCACAAATGGGAACAATTTTGCATCAACCATCTCCCAGAAAAGAAAGATGATGAAATATGTAACACAGCTGAAAAAAAAACAACCTTTAATCAATACCTGGTATCATTTCTTTCTCTTCCTATAGGTTCTGGGCTCTGCAAACCTACATGCTGTTCTGACCATTGGTTTTTACTGGCTTATCTAAAAGCCCGTGAATCAATCCCTGGTTATATAGAACTAAATCAACCATATCTTTACACCTGATATTCATACTGTACAATTACACAACAAACAGCAACAGTGCCTTCAGGTATCCAGTAAATATAAAACATACAATCAAAAAACACAACACTTGCTCGAGCAACTATATGAAAGGTGTTTAGGTGATCTAAAGTAACCCCAAGATAATCGTTGGTGATGGGTTTGTTTTAGGCTCTGACCTTTACTCCTTTGGCACAGCACTGTCCTCTTCATTGATTTGTCCACATGGTGTGGACTTCTTTTGGTTTTCATAAATCCTGCATTTACAAGCTACAGGAAGTACAGAGTAATGATTTGCCTTTACAGCAGCACATCCTTGACATGAACATATCCTAGTTTGTAAAATTTCTGTAAACACAATAAGCCAAAACATGATAGATAGATAGTGTGTCTGGTGGACAATCTGAATATAACTGAACAATAAGTTATAGAAAGGTTGGCTATTAAACAGTGGACTGTATGATGACCACTGGTCCTTTAAAAGTTACAGTGTTGTTTCTGGGATTGGGCTGAACAGCAGGTGGTTCATGCAGCCTCAGCCTGGGCTGTCAGCAGACTAGGCTACAGAACCTGCAAGCCACACTGTTCCAGAATCTCACAGTTATTCTTATTTAATGCATATCTGCCAAGTAATATCATTTGAGATGTTATGAAAATAATCATGTGGTGCAACACTTTATCCACTTTCACCAGAAGTGAATACTCCCAGGACACACACCCCAAGTGGCAAAAACCAGAGGTCAAATTTCTACAGTTAATTTAAAATTATTACAGGGCTGAGGATGAGGAGGCTTAAGCATCTATACTGTAGTACATTCAGCTTGCATAATAGGCAGGCTGCCCAAAAAGAACAGACTCGACTCCCATAATGTCTTAAACCTTGCTCCACCACGCACGCCCGGTTATAAAAAGGCACATAAAACTGCCATTGTTTTAATGGTGATCGGCGTTTTCTCACTGCGAGGGAAAAAAAAACGTTATGGTATCGGGGACTTGATTCCCTCAGAATTTACTCTGGTTAAACTGGATTACAACCCAACAAAAGTCAAGCATCTAGTTTCAGCAGACGGCGCCCTGAATTGTGTCATAAATAAGATGCTGAAACAGGCGACAGCAGCAGGCTGTCATCAGAGAATGGATGGATGGGTCTCTCTCTCACGCGCACGCGATTACACACACCTCGGCTATTTCCCTGCTTGCGCTCCTACACAGCCGCATTTCATCTGAAACTGTTTTCTTATACAGAGGCACCATCAGGTTCCGAAAGCATTTCTTTCGTCTGTTTGATAGACGTGCGTGTGGAGGTCTATTATCGGCGGCATTTTACTGCCAGTATAGGATTATGGTTTTATTAGACCTTACTGGGCCCACAATAGCAGAAAATTAAATATTTTCTTAAAATGAAACAAGAAAATGCCGATGTTGAAACGATCTAACTGCCCCCCCCCCCCGCCCCTGCTCCTCTCTATCTCTTCTTAACGGGCATCTGCTCCACTGTGAAACCTCGAAAGGTGTAAAATTAAAAACATTTTACCTGCAGAGCCGCCAGCAGAACCGAGATCCCCATAAGATGCATTTTGTTGCTTTATAATTCCTCCTTACACAACCAACAAAGTCGGTCGCGCAACGCTGGACGTCAGATTGTTTAATACCCGATAAAGCCCGGCGGCATGAGGCAACCTTCCTCCCTCCAGCAGCCCTGCTCAGTGTCTGCCTTCTCTACCCAGCTCAGCGGCACTCCAGCCTGCCTGGCACTGACTCAACGCCGACCCCGCGCCTCAATGGCGTCCTCTAACGGAAAACAAGGGCACTGCGCCTGGTTACAGTGGAGCTTTGATCCAGTTTACAAAAAGTTTGGTATTTCTGACGAACTTGATGCTTTAGGGAAGTTAATTTAACCCAAATCATGAAATTAACCAAGTTGTTTTGGGCCTGGTCTTAATCAAAGCTGTATAAAAACACTGTCACATCATAAAAGGGTCCTTTTTTGTTTTACAAAGATGAATTTAATAGTTTATCTGTAGCATATCTCCTGCAGCTGCGGGATTGCTAAATTCAGAAAACTCTCCTGTGCATTGTATCAGAGGGTAGAGACAAACCACCTACAATTAGGTTGGATGACTTGTTGATTCTTTTTGATTTGATATCCAAAAACAATGGCCTTCGTTTTCCCTAAACAGAACGAAACATTACAGCAAGAATCATGGTGTAAAGTTCTGCAGCTCAGTACGTAGCCCATACTCAGCTATTTTTATCCTTATGTTCTGTTAGCTGTTTAAAATGGCAGAAATAAATGGGTCACATGAGCAGATACATTTTGATCATAAATCATAAACTACAGTATATGTGTCTGTCTGGCAGCTAGACTTCCATAAACTGTGAAGCAGTCACATATTTTTCAGGAGGGGCAGAGAGTCCACTCAATGTGATGTTAAGCAGTTTGAGTCATTCTGCTCCTTGATCTTGTTTGGTTTAATTAGTGACTGAGAGCAGTGTGCTACACACAGCTGGCAACCGTCTGAATCACTGTAAAGGCAGGTGGTATAAAATGACAAACAGCCAACTGTTGCTGATGGTAAGGAGTGGACTCTAGAGAAACTGTTTCTCTTGTTGAATATTCACAATGTTGGAAAATATGGTTTGTTCATAAATGTAACTTCACCTTATCAGTCAGCGCCTCTCCTGAGTTCACAATGATAATGAAAGTAAATAGATCTGACTCCTCTGTTGACAGTAATTAAGTAGCAGACTGAATACTAAACTCAAGTTGTTGATCCAGTGTAATCATATTGCAGCACCCTGAATTGGTGTCAAGCTGTGAGATGTCTGGAGCTACGGTAACACTTACAGTATATTCAACCTAGCAATAATCAGAAATATTGTGATGAATTGCACATATAACTTACAGCACTCAACCTGAATGTGAGAAGGATGCAGTTTTGGCTACTATACAGCAGATATTAAAGTTACAACTAAGCACCGCTGAGAGAGCACAAACCTCCACCAAGGCAGCTCAGTTTCCTCATAATACCATTTCACCCCCCCAAAAAAATAGCACCATGATAGTCTGACCCTCATAATAAGACTATTTGACCATGAAAACCTACCCGAGGGATTTGGAATCACATTGATATCACATTAGCTTGAAAGTTATTTAAAAAAATACAAACAGTCGACATGAGTGATTACTAAAGGCCACAAATGACAAAATAATGCCCCATGCAGACCAATATAACAATGTGCACTTACAGTCCTTCACAGATGCATATAATTGGCTGCTGTTATGTGCACTTTAGAGTCTGTTTTCCAATGTGCCTCTTGTCCCACTCATTAGCTCTCCTTATCATATGTGGTCAGCAGCGCAGCTGCACCATTTGGGCTCACATAGAGTCAACAGCCTTTTCACCATTCACAGAGATGAATAATCCTGGATTCCTGGATCTGGATACAATCAGGATCAGCATCAAAATCTACCAGATTGCTCTGTGGGCCACACCCTGCCTCTTCAAAAAATGTATCCATTCAAACATTATTTAACAAAATTAGAATCAGAATCTGCTTTATTGGCCAGGTGTGTTTGACACACGAGGAATTTGACTCTGGTACATTGGCTCTCAATGTGCAAACAATAAACCAGCATAAGGCTGTGTAATATAACAAAAATAAGCAGTATTTACAAGCAACAGAATAAGCAGTATGAACAGACAGTAACAATGCAGACAACAAAGGAATGTTCTTTGAAATGAGATAAATAGGGATAAAAATAGAGCACTTAAAACGGAGTACTAGAGACCTGTATGAGTCTGTATAATCTGTACAATGTGTATATACAGGTATTGCACTGAGTTTTATTGTCCAATCATATGGTCATTGGTTAAGTGTTCATCAGAGTGACAGCCAGGGGGAAGAAACTGTCCTTGTGCCTGGTTGTCTTGGTGCACAGTGACCTGTAGCGCCATCCAGAGGGGAGGAGTTCAAACAGATTGTATCCGGGGTGTGAGGGGTCTGCAGTGATCCTCTCCGCCCTCCTTTTGACCCGTGCGGTGTACAGGTCCTCCATGGAGGGCAGGCTCACACCAATTAATCCATTCATTACTTTTTGAGTTATCCTGTGAAGAAACTAACCAACCAACTGCAGTAAACCATTACCATGACTTTCTCCTGTGAGTGTGTGCTGTAGGATGCTGACTGCTGTGCTTGCCACTTGGGGCACCTGTTACATTATGCTCTCTGTTTCAGTGCAGTCTTCTTATTGCCACTTAATCTGCCAAATCTATGACAACAGTAAATTGAAGTGTGAATTTTTCTAACAAGTACAGTCTGGGTGTATCAATGCCTGATTTAACTTCTTCCTCTGTGGCTTCCTTGTCTATAAACTATTAAAACACAGTGAGCCACACTGTTGCACTGGGTGACATGTTCATTCATTACTCATGAACACATACACACAGCAGTCTATTTTTAATGAATTCCTTGTACACTGTTCTGCTGCCACAAACACTGAATGTGTATTCATCCTCTACTGAAAGTATTCCAAATTTAATATTCCCTCTTGTTTGTTTGATAGAAATTGATAGACGTTTTAGGAAATTAAAAAACATTAAACTATATTTGTGAGATGGTTTTTGTTTGTTTGTTAAAGAAATGTACTTCTTCAGTAGGAACCGGTGGGCTTGGAACTGAGTAGGGAGAGGTAGGGAAACCAGAGAGTACTGAGAGATGGACTAACCCATTGTTGCTTTAGGTCTTCTTGTGGGATTTGCTGACAGTCATAAAAACCAAAGAAGACCATCAGCCTTACAGTATCCTCCATGGACTAAATAGAAGTATAGGGAGAATGAACCAACATCAGTCCTTTGTGTAACACAACCTTCTGTCCATTCAAACCTGCTGCCTTGTCTGGGTATTCAGGAAAGAAAACAAACATGCTGAAGAGAACACAGAGCTGTGTATGATTTAGCAGACGATCAGTGGTGTGAGGACACTGACATGTGGCCAGAAATGGATTTTCCTGTCAGTGTGTGTTGCACTGCTCTTTACCATTTGACTGATTTTCCATGTGGTTGATCATGTGAATGCACAGTAGCAGATGCCAACTACTGCATGTTTGCCACTGGTGATGACATTAGCTGTGCTCCATTTTGCCGTGTCGATGTGCCACTCGTTATGTAGCACCAGGGATGGAGAAGCCCTCTGAAATGGAGTGCAGGCAACACGTGATGCAGTGAGGGGACGTAGATTGTCATCAGCCGGTAAATTAAGGACGATAACTTACACTGTATGCAACTATCAGTGAGAGCAAACTTTATACATCACAATTGTGAGGGCAATGTATTACATTTTAAGCCATGTGTGGATTCCCTGTAGCCAAACTTCACACAACATATAGACCATATTTACCAGCCTCTGCTATTCTCTCAGTATGATGTGTGGTGTTGAATTGTTGTAATTTACTGTGGCTTCAGATCAGCAAAAGCAACATGCTGGCTTTAAATGGCACAGAAACCATGGCCCTCTGGCTCAGGGTTTGAAGCACACCCAATCTCTGACATTTAGTGATATCTATACTCTCTATTAAAGCTTAATTTTACATGTCTAAATTAAATTAGGAGGAGCACTGCTCAGCCTGTGAGAAGGAGTTCAGCTTTATCAAGTCTCAGAATGTCAGGAGCGGGGTGTAAAGCAGCCGATGATAGAGAGTGAACTCAAATAGCCAGGCGAGGATAAGTATAATTAAAAAAAAAAAAAAATTACAAAAAAAAAAAAACAGTCTCTTTAATAAGAGCACTGACACTGAACAAAAAAAACAATACAAGACACGGTTTAAACACGAAACGCACTTACAGGTTGATAATACAGTCCAGGGTTAGAACCAACAAACACATACATCCAAGGAATCCAAACAAGATGTCAGAAAGGGGAGTCCGATAAGCCCATACACGGAGAAGCAGGCCGAGTTTGAAGGGGAAAAGGGGAAAGCAATATACTGTGGTCAAAAACAGCAATCCAGGGTCAGAAACTAAAGTCAGGCAAGAACTAAAGCTGGAGTCTAAAACAATCTGGCAGGTTACTGGTGGGGGAAGGATGCTTATAATGGGGTGGAAAAACAGGTGCGATTAATGAGGAGCAGGTGAAACTAATGTGAGTGATGATTAAAGTAAAAAGTCCGAAACTGTGGTGAAACAATAACAGGAAGTAATGTCAAAATAAAAGCAAACTGAAACGAATCATGACACAGAAATGTACTCAGGTGACATCTTTTGGACTATCATCACTGCCATGGAGGAGCTGAACTTTTGATTGTCATTCTGTTGATTGAAGACACCTGTCATGCATCGTTTTCTGCTCTTTTCACTTTATAACTTTTGCCTTTTACTGATGATTATCCAACAACTGCATACCTAGTTTTCAGACATGCTAGACACTGTACAAATATACGCATCAGTCTATTAAGCCTTCACATTTGTTGACAGCTTGAATTTCCTGCTGTGTTTCCCTCATAGCAACATGTCATAAACACTTTAACCTAATGTGTGTGGACCTAAACATTCGACCCCAGTCACCTATAGCTCATGACATCTGTCATTTTTTGACACATTTCTTGGACACAGGATTAAAAGAATTAAAAGCTCAGTGTCACAAATATGAAAAGTCAACATATGATATTTAGTTTTTTGTTGTTTGTTTCAATGGGATGTGTTTATATCATGAAGGTCATTACTTTTCT